GGTGAAGGCTCGGCGTCATTTTTTATAGTGCACAACGAAGAGTAATCACAAAGAAAAGGTGTTTCCTAACGTCTTCCAGTTCAGTCCCCAGTCTCCACGGCGCGTGACGCGGGAGTTTTCCCCGCTAAAACAGGGTCGTTAGCGGCCAGGACAGGCCCCTCACATTCCTGGGACGAGGGGGCCAGTTTTCACTATTTGAAGCCTGAGGCCCCCACGGTCGGGCACAGATCCCGTACTGACGGGGCGCCCAGTGTGTGCGGGGTTCCCGGGAATACGAACGAGTCTCAAGCAGAGGACCCTGCCTCCCTATAGTCAGAGGACAAGTTGCAAAAGCTGCTTGGACAAGGTGGCATTTCATCGAGAGCTAAGCGATTTGGCTTCACACAAGAAGGGGCTCTCGAGGTGGAGAGAACCGTGCGCACGAGGGTCCCGAGAGAGCACAGCGCTCGGCTCTGGTTCGCGGGAAGGCGAGGTGGCCGGCGTGAGCGCGCGGAGAGCCAGATGGAATTTAGCAGGGAACATCCTAGGGCAGAGTTGGAATTTTTCTACCCTACAGACCCCAACACTTGACAGCACCTAACGACAAACCCAAGTCACCCAGCCCCGAGACTGTAGTGCTGGCGAGAGCCAGAGTCTGTTAGCAGCAGAGTTCTATCTGGAGCTAGTACACATTCACAACTTCCCTTTGACCACCAGGCTGAAAAATAGACCCATACTACAGATGTGATCCCCGATCCCCAGAAAAGTAAACAGAGAAGCAGTTAAGTCTCCAGCCCTCGGAATGTGCAGAGGTGGGGCTGAGCCGCACCCCCTCCCCCCGGCCGTGGGCGCTGCAGCGGGGCGGGCTCTGGCCGTGGACGCCCCGCGGCCTGGAACGGTGGGCCGGCCGCCGGCCCTGCCACGCAGCCGCAAAGGCTCGGCCCCGCGGGCGGGCGGCAGGAAAGGAGGCGACGCCCCCTGAAGCGCGGCAGGAACCCGGCCGGACCCGCCTCCCCCGCTCGCTTAGCCGCGCCGGCCCCAGAAGTGATGAAAGCGGCGGCCGAGTCCAGGTCACGCCGAAGCCGTTGCCCTTTTAAGGGGGAGCCTTGAAACAGCGCCCGGGTTCCATGTTTGCATCCGCCTCGCGGGGAGGAAACTCCATGTTGTAACAAAGTTTCCTCCGCGCCCCCTCCCTCCCCCTCCCCCTTCGAGTCTGTCTCCCCTCCCCTCAGAAGCTCGCGGGGATCCCTCCCTCCCACCCCTCCCCTCCCCCCCGCGCCCCGATTCCGGCCCGAGCCGGGGGGGAGGCCGGGCGCCCGGGCCAGAGGCCGGCCGGAGCGGAGCGCGCCCGGCCCCATGGACAGCTCGGCCGTCATTACTCAAATCAGCAAGGAGGAGGCGCGGGGCCCGCTGCGAGGCAAAGGTACGGGGGCCGCGGGCGGGGACCGGAGCCAGACGCCTCGAGAGGGAGGGTGAGGGGGCCGGGACCCTTCCCAGGCCACGGGCGGCGCCCGTCTCAGTCCAGCCGGATCCCTGGCGGGAGCTCCAGCTCAAAAGAGAGCGAGGAGGGAGTTCAAACTTGCGGAGGATCAGAGACGCAGGGCGGGGCCTCGCGCATTTGGGGTGCCTCGGTCTTCATAAGTGGGGAAACTGAGTCAGGGTAGTGCAGACTTCTTCGGGGTCTACTGGGCTGGCAGCGCGCGGTGCCCTAGGTCTAGTCTGCCCCTCCGCATCGTGCCCCCCCCCCAGCCCCGCGCACATTGGCGCCAATGGAGCTGGGGGGGGGGTTGAGGAGGGCGTCTTGAGGCCACCCGCCGAGACTCCGCCCCCTCTGGGTTGCGGTCTGATTGAGAGAGGGGGCGTCGAGGTGACAGTGGGCTGGAAGGGTTTAAAGGATCTCCCGCTAACACGCAGCCACACTCCCCACAAAACTTCAGCGTCTCCCGTGGAATTGTCGAGCTCATTCGAGGGGTTGCATTTCGAGGGGCTGCCTGTCTCCTGCGGGAGAGACTTGCACGGGCTGGGCACGCGGCGTCCCCGTTGCAGGCCCGTGGGCGCCGGGCCTGTGCACACTTGCAGCGACCTGGGCAGCCGCCCTGCCCAGCCTGGGCCCCAGGGGCTGGCCTGTGCTGCGTGGAGCCTCTGCCCACCCCTGCCCCGGTGTTGACCTTAGGAGCTCGGCAGCCCCCTTTCAAGTTTGCCCACCCCCTCCCTCCTGGTCCTAGTCTTGCTCTGGGACTCGGGATGGGAGAGTGTGTCTGTGTGTGTGTGTGTCTGTCAATCATTCTCTCCAGGTTAGGGGGGCGGAGCCGACAAGCTTAGGGAACACAGGCTCCCAGCTGCACGCACGGCAGCCAGCGTCGCTGCCCCCACCCCTTGCTTCTGGGTTCAGCCTTTTTTGAGGACTCGACCCGGTTTGGTGGGGGACTGGGAAGCAGGCCCCAGTTTGGCACTTCTTGGCAGGAGGCCCCCTGGGGTGGGCTGAGTGGCTGGAGGCCTCCCCAGTGGGGCTGAGCACTTAGCAGTATTTCACCTGAGTCACACTGGAGGTTGTGCCTCTTCTTCTGGTAATCCATCTCCTAGCTCTTAACGGTGTGGAGTGTATGGAGAGGTCGCGGCCAGAACTGGCTGGCAAAGCCCCTTTCCCGTAATGTGCCTTCGGGTGAAGAGGGGAAGCCCTCCCAGTTGAGGGAAAAGTGCCCCGCATCTGGGAACACCTCTCCAGGCCCCACCTTGGACGTCTTTGCTTCAGGTGACCAGAAGTCAGCAGCTTCCCAGAAGCCTCGGGGCAGGGGTATCTTCCACTCAATCTTCTGCTGCGTGTGTCGCGATGATGCTGAGGCTCTGCCCGCCCACAGCGGGGCGCCACTGCTCGTGGAGGAGAATGGCGCTGTCCCCAAGGTGTGTGACAGGCAGGTGGAGGCTGCAGGGACACCTGGGATGTTTCAGGCTCTCTCTGCCGGAGGCCCTGGGAGAGACCAAGGAGGGTGGGAAGTGGGGTTCTCCCTGCCAGCCCCAAGCCTCACTCTGTGAGCCTCAGAATGGCTGCCCTCTGAGCGCATCTCTAAAGTCCTTGGCTTAACAGGTGGGAAAATGAGGCTCAGGTGCTAGAGTTTCAGGAGCCAAGCTGGTCTCACCTCAGTCTTCCTGGGGCTCTGGGAATAAAGGTGGGGAAGGGGAGACGGTACATAAAGAAATAACTGGCTTGCAAGGCATGTCCCAGCCAGCCCTACCCCTCCCCATAGCAGACCCCTGTCCAATACCTGCTCCCGGAGGCCAAGGCCCAGGACTCAGACAAGATCTGCGTGGTCATCGATCTGGACGAGACGCTGGTACACAGCTCCTTCAAGGTGGGCCCAGCTAGCAGCCTTCAGCCTTTCTGCCCTGGCCTGGGAGGGGGGGGCCTAGGCTAGGTCATGGCCCCAGGGGACTTGTCGGCCACCTCCAGCCTCTGTTTGCTTCCCCTCAGCCTGTGAACAACGCTGACTTCATCATTCCGGTGGAGATCGATGGAGTGGTTCACCAGGTGAGGCCAACGGAAGAGGTGGGGACGGGGCTTTGATAGAGGCCCAGAGAGGGTGCCGGGCTTGCTAAAGGCCACACAGACCCTGGAGACTTGCCGGACTCCTGGGCCTGCAGAGTTGGGGTTCCTCTTAATCCTTCCCCCAAGCTCCCTGCCATGCCCCCTTGCCCCACCCTGCCCGGGACCCAGTTCAAGTAATTCAGGATAGGTTGTGTGCTGTCCAGCCTGTTCTCCATTACTTGGCTCGGGGGCCGGTGCCCTGCAGCCCTGGGGTGAGGGGGCCACTCCTAGCCCCTGTATTTGCCTGAGGGACCAGGAATTAGTGATCGCTTAGAAGGATTACCCAGAAGCTATGTTCATTTTCATTTTGGGAGAAGACAGAAAGCGTCCCCTGGGGCACTTGGGAGAGTCTGGCCAAACTGAGCCTGCAGGCGCTGGGACCAGCTCCCTTCTGTGTCCCTCTGCTCCCTACCACCTGCCCTCCCAACCCTCAGCCTGCCCCCAGGTCCTCCCTGGCCTGGTGGGCAGCAGCCGCCTCACTGGCCCACCCCCCAGGTCTATGTGTTGAAGAGGCCTCACGTGGATGAGTTCCTGCAGCGGATGGGTGAGCTCTTTGAGTGCGTGCTTTTCACTGCCAGTCTCGCCAAGGTGAGTCCTCACCTTCCTGAGGGGTCCTCGCACCCAGCCCCAGGGCACAGCTGGGCCTCAGCGTGACCCACCTCTCCCCATCTCCAGTACGCAGACCCCGTAGCGGACCTGCTGGACAAGTGGGGGGCCTTCCGGGCCCGGCTGTTCCGGGAATCCTGCGTCTTCCACCGTGGGAACTACGTGAAGGATCTGAGCCGGCTGGGCCGAGACCTGCGGCGGGTGCTCATCCTGGATAACTCGCCTGCCTCCTACGTCTTCCACCCGGACAACGCAGTGAGTGCCGGGGGTGGGCCGAGCGAGGCCCGAGGAAGGTCCAGCATCTGGGGCCAGCTCCTCCCCGCCCTCTTGTCAGGGTCCACTCCCTTTGGGCCCTCTGCCTTCGCCACCTGAGCATCCTGGGACTGGAGTAGAAGGCTTCCCCGAAGGCCTTGGACCCCTATGTGGAACAGGAGCCGTTTCAGTCTCCCACACTCTGTGCTGTGATCTCTGAGCGGGCCTCGGAATCAGATCGAGCAGGTCCTGATTGGGCTTTTGCTCGAATGAAGTAGAATAGAAAGTATTGGGGTGCTTTCAGGTTAGTACAGTGTCTTGTAAAACTTGTTCTGCTTCACACGCGTTACCGAAAAAGTTTGAAAGCTGTGGGTGAGGGGAGCTGGCTCTTTGGGGAGGGGTTTCCAGGTCCCCAGGAGGTGCTGAGGGATAACCTGGATAGTTCCCACCCATGGCTACATGTGCCCTTCACCACCTCCCTCCTGCCTCCCCAGGTACCAGTGGCCTCGTGGTTTGATAACATGAGTGACACAGAGCTCCACGACCTCCTCCCCTTCTTCGAGCAACTCAGCCGCGTGGATGACGTGTACTCGGTGCTCAGGCAGCCTCGGCCTGGGAGCTAGTGAGGCCAGAGGGGGCCTGGACTTGCCCTTGGCCGCGGCCACACCTCCTCACTCTCGGACTTGGCAGCGCTCACTGCTCCATAAGAAAACCCATGAGCCAACACACTCAGTGCCAGGGGAGCGTGTGCCTCCCTAACCAGCCTGGCCTGGCTGCCGAGGGAGCTGCAGCAGGCACCGAGGGCAGTGAGCCCTGGGGTCCCCATATCAGTGCCTTAGAAGCCCCTGCGCCTTGGGGGCAGGTCTCATGTGCCACCACCCCCACCCCCTTTTTTCTTCTTCTCCGTGCTGCCATGTTTATCTGCTGCCAAATTGGGCCCTGGGCCCCTTCCGGTTCTGCTCTCTTGGGAGGCAGGGCTCCTACTGCCCCCACCTTGGCCCCTAGCCTGGGAACAGTGGACACAAGTGCCTTGCATAGAGCCCCTCATTGCTCCCAGCTTTTCTGGGGGCACTGGGCTGGGCAGCTCTTTGCAATCCAAGCTGGCTGGAAACAGCTCTCTCGTCCTCCCGCACCCCTTCCATGGGCCCCAGTACTGCCCCACCTGTCTGCCCAAAGGGCTCAACTCTCACCACCTGTGAAGGGAACTCAGGCTGTCTTTCTTTCGGACTTGCATCTTCTTCAGGGTCGAGGTCTGCCCTCCTTTCCCCTCCCCTCCCAGTCCCCTGCTTGTCACATCTGCCTTAACCTCCTGTGACCAGGCCCCCAAGGGCTCGGCTCCCCTAGCTGTGAGTGGGGTTATAGCAGTACCCCCCATGCGGTGCCATATAAATATGTATATGTGTATATAAGTTTTTAGGAGAGGGCAGATGGAGGGGCTCTGTAGAGACACCCCTCTCTCATCCCTTTCCTGGGCCCAGAAATTATGGGACGGGAGGGAAAGGATTTTTACATTTTTTAAATGGCTATTTTTCTGAATGAAACAATCTGGGCCCATGTGCCTCAGCCCAGTCTTCTGCCCCTCACTCCCCCTTTGCTCTCTTCATCCATGGAAAAGTCATTTTTTGAGCACCATTTCTGCCAGCACTGTATGAGGTCCACCAGCTGAGTGAGGGGACCTGTACACCACATAACAGGTGCCTCCCCCACCCAGCCCACACGTCACTGGTGCCTTTGGGATGGATCTGCAGGAGGTAGGACCCTTCTTGGGCTTGGGGGATTTCCAGGAAGCCTGACCACGCTGTCCCTGTCTCCTCCGTGCCATTCCAGCCTCTGCAGCCCCTGCCTCATCCTCTGCTGGCTGGGGGCTGCTCCCAGGACTGGAGCCTTCTGGCTCTTCTATCTGGAGCCCTTCCCCCCTACATGCTGTATCTGGAGATCATAGCCTTGGGCTCTCCCAGGGCCTAACGGTTAATGGGACCTACAAACCAGTGCCAAGGGGGGTGTCAGTTGGAGAAGTTCTTGTGTTCCCGCCCCCCTCACAGAAAGCTCGTGCATGGGCAGAGGCTGGTTGGCCGAGGCAGGTGGTCTGCTCATTTTTAAGTGCCTTCTATGTGACAGCCCAACAATATATGAGAACTAAAGCCAGACCCCCCCCTAATCCTGCCTTTGTGGTTTTTGGGGGCCAGGGTTGAGTAGGGGTGATAATGATTCTTGTAGCCATGTCTCTTGAGGCCTCACCTTGATGTGGGTGTGGAGGGGTGGCCCCAGCCTCATCCCACACAGGGCCTTCCGGTGTGATTGCCGCACACGCTAACTTGACATCCCATCTGGTATTTAATTCCCTTTTCCTGGGCACTAGGCGCTCTGGTGGCCTAGCTGCAAGGAACTGTGCTGCAATGAGGGCACAGGGTTCGAGACCACCAGCTGCTCTGTGGGAGAAGGATGGGCAAGCTCCACCCTTTCGAGCCGCAGGGTCAGCTGTGGGTCGGTTAGCTCAGACCTGCACACCAGCAGCTGGCGGGACAGAGACCTGGCGATCCTCATCCCTGAAGATTATACCTCTATGAAGGTAGCTTTCCCTGACAGGCGGTGCTGGAAGTTGTGATTCGCTGCAGTTATTGAAGCCACGACTTGATAAATACTAGCTACAAAGCAGGGAAGCGCCTGTGGCAGAGGGGTCCCAGGGACCTCCTTTGGAAAGGAGAAGAGTGTGGTCGCTGCCCCCCAAACCCAGTGTGCAGGGAGGGACTGGGGACCCCCCGCAGGGGCGAGGAGGGGGTCGTGGGAGAGTTACAGGGAACCGGAGTTCATGCACAACGATCTTTGTGCAGCTCTGATGTGGGCTGGGCAGAGAGGGCGCAGCCCCCCACCGCTGCGCGGGCCCGGGGTCGCCAAGTTCACGGTCAGGTTCAGGCTGGGGCTGGGCCTCGGCCCCGCCCGGTGCCTCCCCGCCCCCTGGCCGCACTCTGGCCACTCGCCTGTGGCCGCACCCTGGCCCGAGCCTCCGCCCCACTTCCTGCCCCCGCCCTGCGGCTCTGGCAACACTTCCTTTTCAAAATGCGGCCGCCCCGGGGGCCGGCAGGAAGTGTCCGCCCTCCCCTCCCGGCCCCGCTGCCCTGCGGCGCGCCTTTCCTTCCCACGGTGTCCACTAGGGGCCTCTGTCCCCTGGGCGCCCGGGATCCCCGCACGCCCTCCCTTGCCGACCCCACCCTGTCATACACATGACCCCCTCACATCACCCCAGGGACTGGAAAAAGCGGGCCCACATCAGTCACCCCTCAGCCCACGCACAGGCGGGGCAGGGAGTGCCCAGCCCCCGGTTCCGCCCTTCATCTGCCCTCTCCGCTCCTCAAGTCGAGCCCCAAGCCAGCCACTTCCTGGGACCCCAGATTCCTCTCTGTCCCCGCCAGGCCGCATTCGGAAATCTGCGGTGTGACAGTCCCCACTTCTACCACTCCATCAATCAGCTTCCCAGGTAGAAAAAAGCTAGGGAACTCACATGAGAAGAGACCTCAGTTCCTCTTAGCATCAGCTCCGTTGTGGGCCTGAGGCAGAGCCCCTGTGGGGTTCATGCGGCGTCCTGGCTCTATTTCCTGCTCTCCATGCAAACCTTGGTCATTCCAAGATTTGCATCAACGCAGAGGAGACGTCCAGGCTCCCAACTATGAAAGAGACCACAGTCAGCCACCACTCACTCCCCAACTCCAGCAACACAGGGTTCAACCTCAAGTGTTGGGTGCTCTGTCAAGGCAGGGTGCCAGGAACAGGGACACCGCAAAGAGTGTGCCACTGAGTCTGCTCTCTAGGAACTCACACTCTAGTGAGAGAAGGGAAAATAATACGAATGGGAATCCTGACTGAAGTGCAGTAAAAGAGTTACAGAGTAGAAGGCAGATTTCACACAATGGAAGACTGTATGTGTCAGACTGTGACCTTGGAGGGTGGGGGGCTGGAAACATTTCTCATATTGTTATGTTGTTGATTGGTGACTAGTCGGCCATGACTCATAGTGACCCTATGAATAATAGGCCTGAAGCCTTTCTAGAACTATCGTCTTTTCTCCAAGTTCTTAGAGTTTTCCAGAGGCATGTGGTTTAGGAAGTGGATGCTACTCCTGAATGTGGTTGAGGAAGTGGATGCCACTCCTGCTTCTAAATTCTTAAATTAGAAGGTTGGAAAGGAGAGATTCGGGTGAAGGTGACCCGAACAACCAGAGGAAGTGCCATGAGCAAAGCCTTCCAGAAGCAGCCTGGTATGGAACAGTTGGGAGCAGACAAATGTTGGAATTGCATACAGGGAGGAGGGGAGAGAAGGAGGAGAGGCTGCATAGAGCAGAAGAGGCCACCTCACGATGATCTGTAGTCTGCAAACTGCAATGCCTGGTGCGTATATTTCAAATACCAGCAGACATAACAATCCATGATGGATAGGCCATAGTGGATCCTCCAGAAAGAAGGCTACGAAAGATGAGGAAGAAAGGGCTGGCGATCTTCCAACAACCATCTAATGTAAACCTTATAGACCCAACAGAAGTAGTTGTATCTCATGAGTAATTTATGCCTGCCTTGAGCCTTCTGCTTCCTCTGTGATTTATCTGTGAGGAATCAAATTGACAAGAAGAAGCCTCTTCAAACGCACTCATAGTGACTCTACATTGCGTTTTCCAGGTTGTAAATAATAATAGGAGGAGACTGCCCATCTTTCTCTTGCATTTGAGCCACAGGGTGCATAAGATTTCATTAGCAACACAACTTGCTACAGAAATGTAGGAATTTTCAATATTGTTAATATCACAGACAAGGAAAATATTTCTTTTTTTTTTCTTTTTTTTTTTCTATAAT